AGAACAGAATGGGGCAGCGTGGAGGAATTTTTTCCCTCGAGGCTCGCTTCCCGCTTCCCCTGTTTTTCGCCCGTATTTCGATCCCCACTACTATTCCCCTCATGCGTGCTCATGCGCGTTCGCGAAGCTCTCCGCAGCGTTATGGTCCCCACCATGGTCGCGTCGTCCCCACTTTGCGGCCTTGGGTAAAAATCTGGTAACGCTGGACAAGACCAGGGCTCGGATATTTTATCCCGCGGCCGGAAAGTGGGGACGACGCGACCATGGTGGGGACCAATAGTTGGTGGGGGTATGCAATGATTTTCACGGTAGCGCTGCGGAGAGCTTCGCGAACGCGCATGAGCACGCATGAGGGGAATAGTAGTGGGGATCGAAATACGGGCGAAAAACAGGGGAAGCGAACCGTGCGGGATAAAATATCCGAGCCCTGGCTAACTCCCTCTACACGGTAAAGCATTGAGATGCGCAGAACGATCAAAAATTGAACTGTGCCCGGTCCTAGACTCTCGGGAACACGAGTATAAATCGTTCACAAATCAAAATATATGAAATAACTGCCGCATGTTCATTCGCTATAATTTCTATTAATAAAAATACGTCGATGTAGCAAATAAAACCGGAGAAAGTCCAACAACCGGACGGTACACAAGCGGAGGATTACTGGCGAGCCGCACTGCGAATGATCAGCGACGCAAAGTTCCTCGACTCGTTGCTGCATTTCGACAAGGACAACATACCGGAGCCGGTGATAGACACGATACGGAAGAAGTACCTCACCAACCCGGACTTCGATCCTGAGAAAATAAGGAAAGTGTCGACGGCCTGCGAGGGATTGTGCCGATGGGTATACGCCATGTCCGAGTACGACAAAGTAGCGAAAGTGGTCGCGCCGAAGAAAAAAGCTCTGGCGGAAGCGCAGCAAATTTACGATACGGCAATGAACACTCTAAAGACAAAGCGGGAGCAGCTTCGACAAGTACAGGTATGCGAATTAAATCGCCGTTAATGGAACGTTAGATTCCTGCGCGGACTTTCTAGTACCGTAATAACTGAGAGAAAAATCGGATCGGATCGGATCGATATTTACCAGCGCGGCTGAAAACGAATAAAAACCATTTGGCTCTGAAACGGGTACGAATGTTAAGAATGTATTGGCTACACAGTCAATCCCAAAAGTTTAAGTACTTTAGAAAAAGGCATTTTCTATAATTAAAAAAAATCAAATGTCGGAAGAACAATGCTAATAATAAATAGCTACGTGCTAAAAAGTATAGAAGGAAATATCCAATTAATTATTGACGCCGGCGAAAAA